TGCTTTCCTGGCAATCTACAAAGCCTTGCCACCAGTCATCTGAGATGGGTCTGGATGAGAACACAAGTATGGAGACTTGGTTTGCTTTTCACTCTATTTTAATGGCAAGATACATTCCAGCAATTTGGTTTTTCATTAAAGGTTATTTGACATAAATGATATATATTTGCCAGGAAATGCACACAAAAGGAAAGAATTACTTTGGATTTCTGACTTAGTTTAAGTAACTTGATCAACTAATAGAAGCAGACTAATTCTATAAACCTGATTTTTTTTTTACAAACCAGTGGTTAGGGAATATTGGGGTTTAAAGAGGATTTTGAGCATTTTTATGCTCTTAATGCTTGCAATCATTTAAGACCTTGAATAAATTTTGCTAAATAATACTTTACATCCATAATACCTCATTTGTTCACAGAGTTGGTATTTTGTTTTAAATGGTAGATTAAATGCAAAGAAAATCTCTAATAAGTTTTCCATGGTTTATATTAACATATATACCTGTAGTCATTTGCACTAAATTAATAAGCTGTATTGTTGTATGCCCTTATGATACGGAAAATTTTTCAAATTTATTCCTGAGGCTTCCAGTCAAACTTGCCCACATGAATAAAGGGAAACAGCACAGAGGGGAGCTGATGAGCAGGCAGAGTGGGAGGCGGCTCTGCACACCTGGGGCATCTTTGTCATCTTCTGACTCCACAGTTCCCACTGAGCAGGGTTCCCAGGCCTGGACAGACTATTCCCCACAGCGATGGGGTCCAAGCTCCACAATGCTTCACACCTCCGTTCTGAGTACTGCTTTTTGTTCGTTCGTTCGTTTGTTTGTTTTTTCTGAAGATCCTACTCCCCATAGCGTAAATTCTTCTTGCTGTGGGTTAACCGTTCTGACAGGTTTGCATAGGGCTGACTCTCTGGTGTTTTGACAACCTTCCCAGATTTGGAGACACCTCCAATTTAGTGTGTCTTAGACGTGACGCGCCAAGGTTGCTAATCAATAATAGCAAGCAAACCTTAGGAGTAAGGTTTTTTTATTTTTATTTTTTTATTTTATCTTTTTTTTATTTTAAATAGCTTGTTTTACATGTCAATCCCAGTTCCCTCTCCCTCCCCTCCTCCCGCACTCCCCTTCCCTCCCACCCTCCCACCCTATTGCCAAATCCTTCCACATAGGGGATATCTAGAGTCTGTCATTTTACTCTGGGAAGGGTCCAGGCACTCCCCTAAGAGTCCAGGCTGAGAGAGCATCCCTCTTTGTGCTATAGGCACACGAAGACTGTTTGTATACCAGGGATAGACACTGATCCACAGCTCAGGGCCCCATAGGTTGCCCAGGCCTCCTCACTGACACTCACATTCGGGGGGTCTGGATCAGTCCCATGCTGGCCTCCCCACTGTCAGTCTGGGGTCCAAGAGCTCTCCCCTGTTCAGATCAGCTGTCTCTGCTGGTTTTGCCAGCCCATTCTTTGCCAATTTGCTCATCACTCCTCTCTCTCTGTCACTGGGTTCCTTGGGTTCAGTTCAGTGATTAATTGTGTGTTTGCCTCTGCTTCCATCAGTCACAGGATGAAGGCTCCCGGATGGTTATAGACATCAAGTTCACTATCAGGAATGGGCATTCGAGGTGGTCTCTCCACTATTGCTTAGCTTGCCAATTGGTGTTATCCCTTTAGATCACTCGAGGAGTAAGTTTTTAAAGAATGAATTGGGCAGTTTTTAAACTGCCCTTAGAACAATGTCGCTCCACTCGAAAGTGTCGTCACCTCTCTTGAGTCGGTGATAAGATAGCAGAATAGCCTCTCCATGGGAAACTTTCTACTGACAATTGCCAAAATGCCTGCGGATGCCTGTGCTGTGTTCCAATCATCTGCATCCCTAAACGCCCATGTTCGAACCTAATCTCCAGTGCAACAGTATGAAGCTATGAGTCTTTGGAGGGTGATTAAGTCGTGAATGAGGTAACTACCCTTAGAAAAGACAAGGACACTTGCTCGTTACCCCTCCTTGTGAGGAAGCAACAAAGAGGCCCATCAATGAAAGAGTGAGCATGCTCTCACCAGACACTGAATCTTCAGTTGTCCTGATTTTGGGCTTCTTAGCTTCTAGATTGTCTAACCTATACATTCCCTCGTTTGCAAATTTCCCAGAATAAAATACTGTGTTATAACAGCCACAGTGGACCAAACAACCTCACATATGTGAACACCATCCTAGTCTTGCATGCGAGCTGCCTTGGAAAGAACCCAAGGAAAGCTGTCTTATGTAGGCCCTGATTGACTTCAGAGCCCAAGGGTAAACAAACTGCATGACTTCTGCTTTGGTGGGAGCCCTGAACGGAGAGTTGGATGGTCTCAAGGCACTTGTCACCATGCCTTTGCTAAGGAAACCTTACTCCCATGGACCCCATCTACACATATCAGATCATTTTCCTTTGGACCTTCAATCCAGTGGCAAGTCCGCAATGCAAAGGCAATGGCTGTGTGGAAAGCATGTGGCTGTTCTTAGACAGGCATCCACATGCCTTGCTTGGGTGTTCCCTTGCTATGCCTGTGACAGTGCTGCCTGCCTGCAGCATATCAGAAGAGAAACTACAGGCCTGATCTCATTGAACTCTTCTACTCATTGAGAGTGTCTACCCACAACCATAGCACGGCCTCATTTGAATACCTATTTTCTTGGCACATAAAGCCTTTTACAGATGGGAATGAAAGTGATATGTATGATCTGGGAATGAATGTGATACGTTAGTGTGTATGCATGTATGTATGTATGTATGTATGTATGTATGTTCGTGTTTGGCTGAAAATTAAATATGAAAAAGATTGAAATGACCTGGCTTAAGAGTGCTTTAGGAAACTACTTAGAGAAAAGATTTCAATTTATTGGTACACTGAGTTTAGGTTACACCATTTTTTTCTGGTGGTTTTGATTGCACTAAATATCCAATCTATAGCTGACAAAATTTCAAATCAATTGGCCATAGTGAACTAAATTCAAATTCTTAAATAACTGATGTGGAGCAATCTCTTAGTTCATGAAATAAGGTACGTCTTATTCTTCTAAAATTACAAGTCAAATGAAAACATGTATTTAGTCCCTGGACTATATATAGTTGGATTAACCTTTGCCTTAGAAAATAATAGAATATTGTGGCTTAGTGATACCAATGGATCAGTCACTCTTGACAGAACTGAAATTGACAGAACTGAAATTGACAATGGAATAAAATCTAGAAAGAAAAACTTGCATCTTCTGTGTCCCATTGACTTTATAAGTTGCAGTCTATCTGCCTCTAAGAAAATGGTATCAAAGTTTAGAATTCCACAGCCCAGGGATGTAAAGAGAGTTTTCAATAGGTCACAGAGGAAATATCTGAGGCACCCTGACCACAGAGCTTCTGCTTCATCTAAGTCACTCTGCAGTTGTAGTGCAAGTGTAACTGTATGAAAAAAACGTGTGTGGCTGTGTTCCAATAAAAACTTTATTCACAGACACAAAACTTTGTATTTCATATAATTTACACATACCACAAAACACTCTATTTTTCAGTCACATAAAAAGGCAGAAGCCATCCCTCACTCCCAGGCCAAACATAAACAGTCACTGGGTAGAATTAGGCCCATGGGCCACAGTTTGCTGACCTCTGCCTTAGAAAATAAAAGAAAAATGTGAATCAACAAAGTTAGCGATCCCCTCACACTCCATCAAAGATCTGAACAGTGTCACCTGTAAGCTATAGCCATAAAAGCCAGTTCATCCTGAGCTACAGTGAGAAGATAACTGGGCCATCCAAGTAGTGAATCATTCTATAAAACTGATCTGAGCTCTTCAGAAATGTCAAAATGGTCAGGACCCCCCCCCCAAAAAAAGAGTAAGAAAAACTACTCGGGATCAAGAGGATGCAGAGATAAAAGGCCTGTGTGGTCATTGTTTGGGCACCAGACTAACAATAAAGGTACCAAAAAGAGCACATCTTGAAAGTGTAGAATTTTAACAAGGATTATTGTATGGTATTATAGATTTGTAGAAAATACCTTGGTTCTTGGTCATATTAGCTCAAGTCTTTACAAATGAAGTATTGGACTCAACAAATAAATTTCAAATGGTACAATCATACAAGAAGGTAGTGTGTGTGCGTGTGTGTAGTGTGCTTGCATGCTGTGTGGTGTGGAGAGGGAGAGAAGGAAATATAAAATATTAACAGGAAATGTTTCTGAGTGGTAAGTACACAGACATTGTTCTCCTACCAGTTGGCTTTTCCGTGGGTCTGAAATTGCCAAGCTAAAAACTGGAAAGACTTTGTGTATATGCAAAGAGATATAGCCATAAATTTTGGTGGTCCAAGCTCTGCTTCAAATGCAAAAGTTATGATATGTGAAGGCAGGTTACTCTACAAAACTCCCACCCATTTCAGTTAAATTCGGAAGCAAGTGAGCTTGACCAGTTGGTTCCCTCCATCTACTTTCTTCCCAGCTACTACAGAACAGCTGAATCCTGAGCTGAGTAAATCAGGCAACAAAATAATCCACACTGGGCTGCCACAGGCCCTACATCCAGACTCCTGTTTGCTGAATACTTGCCCCCCCCAAATCTAAAAACTACTCTTTCCCTCTGAGATTAAAACTACCTCACTTCTTCTCACAGTTCAACCCAGACCATATGACATATCAGTTTGCTCATCTATGAGAGGCAAACTGAGTGAGTCTGGGGAAAAACCTAACTTGGGGGAAAGTGGTAATTGTTCTATCCAAGAGTCTGATCAGAGAGAAACCTGTAAATTGGTTGGAGACACAGACTATGTTCAGTTGCCTTTGTATGTCTGAGGTCATGCAAGTGGCTACTCAAGGAATGCTTGGATGCCGCAATGAGTAAGTAAATAAACAAATGGAAAGGTAAATCTGTTTTACATGGAAGTGTCAGGTTTGGATTCCAATGTAAAGAAAAGATTTTTGATGACCCCAGTACCAGACTGGACCACTGAAGGAAGTCATGGAGTCTTATTTTACTCACTTGTTTATTTATTTATTTATTGAAATTTACAATAATAGAATAAACATATATCTTGAATATATTTTAGAGAAAATTTAGCACTTAAACATCCAGACGCTCCTCTACATGTATGATGAAGACTGTCCCTTGACTTCAAGGGTTCTGTCTGTTAACATTCAGTCGGGTTGAAATGGATCTGAAATCATGACGTAGGAAGGGCAGTTGGAGGAACAGTGCTTAGGAGAGAGTAACTGTCCTCAATTGCCTGCAGGGTGACCATGGCTCTGCAGCAGATATAGGACCAATGAACAAAACTAAGTGGGGGAGGGGCGCCCTGTGGACTTCAGCAGCTTAAGAAAGCACACTCTGATGGAAACACCTGCCCAGCAGAGGGACACTTTGCTTTACCAAATTACAAACCATTGTCGTGGGACCTGTATAGATAGAGGTGCTTGAGTTAATACAAACCAAATGGACTGTTGTCAAGGGTAACCGGGAAGGTAGCATCTACACAGGGTGTGAGAATAAGGCTCTTCCATCTGACTGGAAAAGGCATTAATAAACCCAAAACTCAACCTAAAATTTTGATGTTAATGCTAAAAAGATAATTAATAAATATTTTCAAATCCTAAGTCTTCATGAGTACATAAGAGGCAAACATTACACCTTGACCATTAATTCTTTGAATGTTTCCCCAATGAATACAGACTTGATAGTAATTACTGACCAAGAGAAATTCAGGTTGTCTCAATATATAAGATAATGCCCTATCCTAAAAGATGTCCAAAATGTCCAAATATTCCCAAGTCCCTAGGGTTCGTCTTTCTCTGTATCTCAGGCTACTATCCTTGTGCACTCTATTACTGCCTCGAGCCTAGCTAATTCTCCCTCACTTCCCCCTACCACAAGCTTATGTCTAACATTTCCCCCTTGCAATCCTCATCAACACTATAACTAGATGTCTCCCTAAGACTCCTTTGGAAGAAGTCACTACATATTCAAAAGCCTAGAATGAGCCATCCATTTAAAAATACGTGCAGCAATAGTTAGAAGGGGCAAAATCCACACAAGATTATTAAGGCCCTGTGAAATTACAGACAAGTGGTATTTAGGTGTTCTTGGGATGGTGCTAGTAGAGTTCCAGTCTTAAACCAGATAAAGCCCCAAACAAACTACAAGTACACCTAATACACTGCACACCAAAGCTCCAACTCCACGCCATACACACCTCTCATTTCTCTCCACTTGGCCTTTTGTCCTGTCATACCTGTAATGAGCCCCCACTGGTATCCCATCCTGTTCTTTGCTAACCTTTCTCTTTACCGCTGTCCTCGCTGCTATCTCTCTTGCCGCAACTCTTTCCCTACACTTGCATTCTCCCGGTAGGACACTACTATGGCCTGTTGTCTGTGTGGTAGGTCAGTTTGTCTCTAACAAAGATAAGCCTCCAAAGGCAGCACACGGTTCATAGCTGCATTCCCTGAATCTAGAATAGTGACTTGCAGACAAAAGATGCTAATGAATGATCTGGCGAATGAATGATTGTCATTTCTGTGGCTACATACTTCTGTCATGTTCTCTTTCCTCTTTTAAAGATCTAATTATATGCAGTGTATGGTTTCACTTTGCACATTTTTATCTAGTCATTTGTTTTAACACAGGAGTCTCAGAATAAAGATTCTCTCTACATCTTCCATGTTGCCCCACTCAATACTCTGATTCAGCAGATTCTGTGGATACCTACTGTGTGTCAGGCACTTTAGTAGGAGTGACGATATAAATTAAAGGCTGTGTTTTTCAAGTTAAAAAAAACAACCAAATGGAATATTTCTCTGCTGATTTTCTTAATAAAATAAATACACCTGAAATCTATACTTTAAATAAAGTAATATTCAATTTTTCTACACTTTTTACCATCCACCAAACCCATTCAAATAATTATTTAAAACAAATTAGGACATATAAGAGATCTCCAGATACACTTTAAATCATTAACAAGTATAAATAAAAACATTTACTATAAAGGTTTTTTTTTATGTAGGGGAAACGACCTTGAAACACTTGCTTTTTCAGGATGTTTACTCACAGCAAAACAGAAAGATTTCTGAATATTATGAAGACTTTAGGCCTACTCTGGAATTTAAGTAACTTAACCATTTTGTGCAATATGGGTATTTTGGAAGCTGATAAATATTATTTTTTCAGAACCAGAGGCAAGAATTTGGCAAAGAACACAGGGAGGAGAGATCATTAATTTTCCTTTCCCCCAATAGGCTATTTTTATTATGCCAATTTTAATCACCATGCAATTGAATGGGCTTAAGGCGTATATTCTCCACACCACTGGACATCACAAACATGAAAGCATTTTATACTGTCATACATCACTGTTTGTACTAGCTTATACATATATACAGAAATTATTCACACATCTTAACCTTGCTATTTCCTCCTCTCAAACCAACATACTATCACCACGGAAGCAGCTTTTAAATAAATGGTATAAGAAATACAGCAAGGCACACTGTTTTTAAAAACGTTTTTCTCATCACCACCTCAAGAAGCATAGAAACCAAAAACAAACTTAATAGTAGAATGTAACAGTTTACAATATACAACACTGTTATAGCTCTTTCTTGAAGTGCTGCATAGATAATTATTAAAAAGAAGGAAATAAAATGGTGCTTTTAATTGTTGCTTAATTTTGTAATTAGGACCAATATATCTCCTCTATACTACAATCAAATCAAGGGTGAGCTTTTTAGGTAAATCACTTTCAATAATACCATGAGCATTTTCAGAGTAAAACATAAAATTGGTCAAGTCCTGGCGGGGAAGGGTGTCATTCCAGACAGTGGGTTTAATGGACCATCAATTTAGTGTACTGCAGAGCTTTAAGGGGGAGGCAGGAGAGGAGGGGGTAAACAGAAGTCTTGCTGGAGAGAGGGTTGGCAGAGGTAGCTTGGGACAGGAATCCATGGGAGAGCAAGCAGCTTTGTGGAAATAAGATCACCTAAAGAGAAGCAATGCACACATCCAGATCACAAGGCCCACGTGGACAGACTGGTTCAGAGGTGATGGGTGGCAGTGACGACAGGATGGAACCCAATATCAGCCCAGGGTAGGTCAGGCCGGCCCTGAGCTGCAGCCAGGCTGTCTACGGGAAACAAAAAAAAGTGACAGGAAAAGGTTTCAGAAACATCTCTATCGTTTGCAGATTGAAGCCCTTTCGGGAAGCTGCCAGTGGGGGATCAGCTGCTAACGATCTAAAATGAGAGTGTGTGAGATGTGACTAGTTCACTAGCTCAAGGCTCAAACTACATACAAATAAAACAACAACAAAAACAAAAACAAAAAAATTTCAGTTCAGTGAGATACACAGATACTTCAATACATAATTTCAAAAAATAAGTGGAATCAAATACGATCAGCTTTTCTCTGGGTAATCAACTCATTAATTCTTCTGTGGGTGATTTCAGTTTTAACATGGTAGTTCCAAATCTGTATGAAAATGTCAGGCAGCTGATACCAAGGGATGTGACGACGTGCGAATGATAATCTTCAGACTGGGGCCTGGCTCTCAGTTTAGCACTCCCTTCAGTAATTTGTGTGTGATGTTGAACAATTCTATTCTGTAGTGATGAAATGTGATAATCCTGAATGCTAGAGATCCTTGCCTATAAATGGCTATAATTAGAATTTACAGCTCAAATATTACTGCGTTTCATTTTTAGGTACAGGAAACATTGTGGAAACCAAATTTATTCAATTCTCTTTTTACGTGGGATGATTGATACAAATTTGTTCCAATCTCATTGTGTCCTACTTATTTCTAAATGGCTATAACACCTGGTCAAATCTGAGAAACATCTAAATTCCAGGATACAATTACCTTAGGTTCACAGACCAGCTCTCAATAAAGCAGGCCTCTGCCTGCCCGGTTTAATCTAAATTCTGAAGTGCTATATCAGGTTTTGTCCTGACCTCTTAGAAGCAAATATTCTTCTGTATCTTTCTGTCTCTTTCTATACACTTACAACTTTGTGTAGGAGTCAGAAAAAAAGTTTTCCATCTGTAGTTCCACTAGAGCCAAACAGGATATTTGGAGGATAGGGAGAGTTAGCAGGAATGGGGAGACAGACAGAGGCAGATGGGACAAAATTTGGTACAGTAAATTAATTCAGTAATTTAGGAAAGCACAGTGTGGCATTGCTCAAATGCTGAGGATGTGACTCATCAGAAATCTGCCACTGAGCAGGGACTCCTCGGGTGAATCGGATCCTGTCTCAGGAAAGAGCTGGCAACTGAATTCCCTGTGGGTAATCAATTCTTTCAACTTGGCACACTTGGAAGCAGGCAGGCCAAATGGGCTCAAGCCCAAATCGTTGTGTGTGTGTGTGTGTGTGTGAGAGAGAGAGAGAGAGAGAGAGAGAGAGAGAGAGAGAGAGAGAGAGAGAGAGAGAGAGAGAGAGAGATGGAGGGAGTGAGAATGTTGACTTTATACAATAAAATCTTTTTTATTTAGCATGGCGAGTTATTCAGATGCACCAGATAATTCAAATCACATCATGAAGAGCCTTGGTTTGGTAAGGTGATTTAAAGGTAAATTCACAAGACTATACATGTAGTGTCTAGTGGAAGAATAATATGTATGCCCCCCAACATAGTTTCCTAAAGCTTCTTGGCTTGGCCAAACAGTGCCAGTCCAGTAGGAGAATGAGACACTGTGTATGGTGAGAAGTGTTTGCTCCTACCACTTTCTGAGCTTATAAAAGCAGAACCTCACTCTAAACTGTATGTGCAAACCTGAATATGGATCAACATAGATGGTCATCTAAAATCAAAAACTCTGTGGTCTCCACTACACCTGCAGTCTGATAAAGTAGGCAAGACAATGAAACCAAGACCAGAGGAAGTAATAAAAAAAACCCGTCCCCAACACACACACACACACACACACACACACACACACACACACACCAACCAAACCACCAGAAAACCTGAAAGAGAAGACATAAAAGTACACATTGGCTGCACACGAGGAGTTAACTTTTTACACGGCAGGATTTATCCAGCCTGAAGTTTAGGGTTAAACCATTCATCAGAGATCACAGGCTTAGGATGGGGATTATGAAGAAATAACTGTCAGAATACAGCAAAAAGATTAGTGCAAAGTACATCTCTTAGGCAAGTCCTAGGAGGCATTCCAGACATATACTGTGCGCTTCCTCCAAATTAGGCAGAAAGAACTGGATCTATCCAGTTACCTTGCCTTTGATGTGATTTGCTATAACTGACCTCTCTATTTTTACGGAAATGCAACACACAAATGGTCCCAGTGAAAAGCCCAGCAGTGTGCCTGGAAATAAGTGCAAATGCACACACCGGTGGGCCACACTAAATCTTCTCAAATGACTTCAGAGGTTTTTTTTATTTGAACATAGGAAATAAAAATAAATTTCAAAACACTTCGAAAAGAATTTGTTCTAGTTGCAGACTACATGCATGGCTCTAAGTCATAGGAATTGTAATCATTTCATCATCTGAGAATTTATTTCTGGGAAAAGAACTCCAGCAAATTGACTTTGGTGAATTGTGTTGTCCTCATACAAAGAAGATCTCATCTAATGGTCCTCAAATGGCTTTTAGAAAGAAGAGCTTTTGCTATTTTGGACTCTGTATGAAGGACAATGACAATAAACATGCTTACTCCAATGCAACGTGTCATATTTACCAGTGCCTTTCCTACCCATCCTGACACTAAGTGCTGAAAACAGCAGCGTTTTCAGACTGGGTAACTTTTCAGGTGACAGCATTTCGACTCTATGTGAAAGTTCAAGCCCAAGGCTGGTAACTAGCCCTGAAACGAGGCTCCAAGGTGTTTAGTTAACATAATACTGCAACACACACACACACACACACACACACACACACACATTTGCACACATATAAACACATACATACACTCAAATGTGCGCACACCCCTTCAAAAGTGAATAGGAGCAACATATAACTGTTGCCATCGCTCTAGGCAATAAGTCACTTGGGGGCGATGTCAGTTCTGCAGAAGTAAAACTCGCTGCTTCTCCCTTTGCCCACAATAGAGGCCTGCATGGGGTGTAACAGAGCCCCGCTGATGGGCAGGCAAGCCTTTGGGAGTCTTACACTGTCTATGCTTGTAAAATGTGACAATTACATAGATCCATCAGCACCTTCACTTCCCTCCAGTCAAAAAATGGAATTGCTCATCATTTACGTTTCATTTCAATTCCATTTCTCTATGTGAGGGAGAGAAGAGTCTCCCAGAGGATCAAACAGGGAGAATACATTCCAGAGGCTTCTCCAAGGCCAGAGCTTTCTCTGCTGCTGATCTCAGCACGGCTGGTGACTCGAGGGTCACAGTCACAGGGTGGCACACTCAGAGTGCTGTGGCTTTCCAGCCTTTATCCTTTTTTCAGAAAACAAAATCAGCTGGGCTCTCCAGGGCCTTCAGTGGAGGCGGACGGAGCCCGCATCCAATCAGTTCTAATAGAACTTGCTCTGAAACAGCTTATCGAATCCCAGTTACTCTCCCTTAATGGTCAGTTTTACTGCATACTGATGGAGAATGTGATTATAGGGTGGGCACAACTCACAGAAAACACATTTCTCTCTCTCCCACTTTTGTTCTCACTCACAGCCAATTGTAAATAGAGTCTGAAATGGGAAATTAGTGAAGCTACATTAGTAAGTAGGATGGCTTTTTTCAGTTTTGCATACTGAGTTTATTTTTAGGGTATATATATGGTATAGATTGCCCCCCTCGCTCCCCATTCTAGCAGCTCTACACAGAATCACACATTTTAATGAGCTTAGGGCACAGGTGTTGCAGGGAAAAAAATAATGATGTTTGCCATTCATCTTTCAAATTAAATAATGTGTTTTTAAATAGTAACTTTTTTCATAATACATTATGGGAACAACATTTATCTGTCACATTTTAAAAGATGTATTTGTAATAAATGTAAATTACTTTTAGAAAATCAGTAATTAGGCTCATCAAAAAATAAACAATCTGCCACAAAAAAGATAATCTTTAGCATAGTTAAGTATAATAACTGTTATTTGAATAAGTTAACAAATTAGGGTAGATTGCTTCTGTAATTCATTTCCTATAGCACGAGTTTAGGTTACGCATTAGGCTTCTGCAGTGGGGGTGGAGGGGGCACTATGCACCTCACACTTTAGTGAAATGCAACTCTCACATCTGAAATCTAAATTTCTCTTTAAACTTGATAGAGGAGGTACATTCATCATCGGTGCTTAGAAATGGGAAACAACAAAATCTTTGTGTCACTTTTAAAGCTATATCACCACCTCAGAATTATCAGCCAAAGCAGTCTTATTAAATATGAAAAGTAGAATGACTTTCTTTTAAAAAATGATGGCAATCAGCCTGTCACCTTCAGGCAAAATTCAAAAATTCTGTTTTTATCAGGACATCATTAAGTTGTCACATATTCTTCCATTATTTGTGTTCTAGACCAGTCCTCAATCTGTGTGTGTTCTAGACCAGTCCTCAATCTGTGTGTGTTCTAGACCAGTCATCAATCTGTGTGTGTTCTAGACCAGTCTTCAATCTGTGTGTGTTCTAGACCAGTCCTCAATCTGTGTGTGTATAAATAAGGGGATCTTCTTTTATATCAACTTCCCCTCCTGTTAGAATTCTCAGGCATGGATTAGGAGCTGTGACAGCACAGCCTTCCTCAAGAAAATGAGTGTGACAGTACCTATGTCGGGTAGAAGCATAAAGGGAAAACTCGAGTCCAGAGACACAGTCTTCAGCCCAATCCTTGTTCATCAGCAGGCAGGTCCAAGTAGGAGCACAAGTAAGGAATCTTAAAATGATCAGGCATGACTGCAACTTGGATAGTATTTTTCTCCCCCAGTGGAAGAATTTGATCAGCTGTTTGCTCAGATATTGAATTGCTCTTGTCAAAATGATGAAATAAATATGTCACCAGTTTTCCTCTTTTGCTTTTCACAGTTACTTTCGCTGTTGTAAGCGTAAGCATTTCTATTTAATGTCTTATTCTGATATGTATGTGTCATGACTGGTCATTCTGACTACTCTTCTATAATGACAGCTCATACACCACACACACATATGCACACACACTCACACCAAGTACTCATACATACCTTTCAATGAGATGATTTCCATGCTTGGGGGCATTACTTTCTACCTATGCATGTTTCTATGTTGATCTTCGTGAAAGCTTACAAGCTTTTCTTTACAGGTTAAAGTTTGCAGCCTGGGATACATCATAGCCTTGGCTTTTGGCTGTTTTGCATTCAATGGGCGAGCTTGAATTTTTGATTTGGCTGAAGCAGCGTTATTTTCTTCTGGTTCACCTTGGTTTCTTGAAAGTCCATCTTTATTGGCCTGTTTTGAAGGAGTAGTAAGCTCTGAGCTTTCTGAACAGCCCTGGGATGTTCGCGATTCATTACCTGTTTCCTTTCTATTGTCAGCCTCTCTCTGAGGGGAAGGTTCTGAAAGAGCTACCATGTCTGTCTGATCCAGTGAGGAAGCAGCATCATTGAACACAGGAGAGCTTGCTGTCACTTGTGTTGGCATAGCAGCTTCATCCGGAACTGCTGGTTCATTTGGAAGGGCACTAGAGAAACAGGCTTTCTCATCCACAAGGTCATCTTCAACACAAGCTTCAAAGAAGCATTCGATGTCTTCCTTGTCATCCAAGCTAAAGTCCACAGATTCAGGTGGCAATGGGGTGCTGCTCTTCTCATCTATGTAATTGGTGACCTCCCCACAATCACTGTCATGGGATGAAAGAGATAGGTAGGAATAAAAGTCCCCCTTTCTTAGGTGCATGGGCCGATGAGAATGTTCTAACACTTTCTCCTTAATTTGAGTTAATGAAGTGGGAGGGGCTACCTCACTTTCGGGTTGTGATTTACTTTTTAGGGCTGTTGATGCCATGTCAATGATTTCCTTAACAAAGTCGTGTACCGAACAATCTTCAGCATCTTTTTGATGGGAAACATCTGGCTGGCAGTTGCAACAGGAAGTGCTGTTGCTGATAGAAGCACTTTCCTCTGTCTCGTTTTGTTCGAGTAGGCAGCAACCCGCAGATTTGCTAGCCCCGCTTGGTACATCATTAGACAAAGATTTTAGTCCATCACTGTCTTGTCTGCTTCCAACTCTGGTTTCCAACAGCAGTTCTGGGCAAGAGTTCTCAACAGATGTGCAGTGGGCACTTTGATTTTCAGAATGGTGGCGATTTGGACCAATCTGAGGAAGATGTCTATCATTTGGGGGACAAAATTCCTTTACAGCAACATCTGAATTATCTGAAGCATCCGTTAATGCTTTACACTCACTATGTTTGGATTCAGAACTTTTTTTCACATTTAAACCAAGGGTCTCTGATGTTTCTGAAATTCCATTCAGCTTCTCCTTTTGTCTTTCTGGAGTACTTTCAATATTGCCATTTTCCATGTCAGCCACATGTGGATCTTGACTAACTTCATAAGGATTTTTCTTGTTTTCACCTCCTGTCCCTAAGTCGTGAGTTCTGGGTGAATCCTTGCCATTTCCATTGTTTTCAGAGAGACATTTTATGGGGCCATTAAGAAGGGCCTCAATGTTCATTGTATCTGAGGGGTTGATCTTCTCACTTCGACCTCCATCTTTATTGCCCTTTATTTCATCAGTGGCACTGCACCGTTTCTTTTCCCTTGTCAGGGAAAATTTGGGTCTTATCCAAGTCTGCAGCTCATTCTTTATGTAGTCCAGCCCAGACATCAGGTGGCTTTCTTCATAAATCTCATCATCTGTCGCAATACTGGAGTCGTCCTCCTCGTCTTTGAGGCACAGCTCTTCTTCAGTCAGGGTGAGAGTGGAGCTGGACAGGAGGTCGCTGTCGTCTTCGTCATCAGTGCAAGCAGAGGTGCAAGAGACATTAACAATCATACTAACGTTGACATCACTTTCGTCAGCCACCGAGTGATTCAGGCGCTTCCTGAATGATGCATTGGATTCTGGGACCTTGTTTTTGTGTAACACGATATCCTCTGAACAGAGGGAGAGCTCATCACTGCTACTCAGTTCTGTAAGAGATGCTGCTGAGTCTTCATTGATAGAAGACGCAACATCCAATGACATCTGGCCAGTAAAGGACATCTTTTGGGAACTGCTTTGGAGAGTGACATCAGAAACACTCCGCTTTATCTTTTGCTCCGAGGGGCTCTGGATATTCTCCAGGCGATTCAGGAGGTCTAATGTCCTCTTGCTCAGCTCACCAACTGAGCCACTGCTCACACTTAAGTCCCCAGAGCTGTGACAGCTAAAAAGATCTTCATTGCTCTTATAGGATGTCAACCAACTTTCTAAAGAAGTGCTTCGCTGGAGGCTGTCACTGCCATTTTTAAAGATACCTAACCCAAACAAATCACCCCCTGGAGAAAGGGACTCTATAGATGAGCTACGAGATAAGAGGGAGAGCTGTCTGGCATTCTGAACGCCTGTGAGTGTCTTCTCTTTGTCACTACTTTTATAGGAGCTTTGACCCATTTCATGGGGTGCACTTGCTAAAACCCTTTCATGGGGCAGCGCATCAGTTTGTAACTCCGAAGCCTGATGTTTAGATTTGCAGGATTTTTTATCAAAATAAAAACCACAAAGAAGGGGATCATCCACATGCGCCTTGTCACTTTGTGACTGTTTCATTATCATTGGTAACTTGAGTTTTGAGCCTTGGAGGTATGAGTAATCATAAAATGTAAACACATCATGTTTTCCTTGTAATTCTTCTCCTGCACAATCAGTGACATGTTTGGGAACACTGTTTAAATCTCCAGCTTTTCCATTTACACAACCCACTGGTGAGATGGGTGACTGAGAGGTATTTGGAAGCTTAATGCATTCCTCCTCATCTTTAAATTTTTGCTTTAACACGTTGACTGTATCTCCTCCCATTTGTGGGTCCAGATGTTCAGTTTCAGGGTTACTTGGGGATCCATCTACCACACTGAACACACACAGTTCAGAGTTGGTAGGCATTTCATTGTCTCCTTCGCTGACAATTCCACTCTCACTGCTTGAATTCTGGCTCACGTCTCCACTGTGACATGGGCAGGGTCTCACCAAACTGGAACCCCCTAAAAGATCTGGCAACGATTTTGTGGATGAAAACGAAGAATCCTTACTGAGACTCTTAGTTAAGACACCGGGCTGGGCTGTGCCTGTAAGCTTTAGACTACTTTCCAGAAACGCAGTGGGGCTGTCCTTGTGGAGGGCAACGTTGTGAAGACTATACACTTGGTAAATCTGCGGGCTGGAAGGTACTGTGATGTTTGAGGTATACTGGGACCCTCCAAAGTCACCTGCCTCCTCCTCATAACCAGGATCCTGGTGGTGTGTCTCTTCAAGTTTCACTGAGGGTATGGTAGACTCTGGGTCTTGATCAAGGTCATTTGATTCTTCATGCAAACTAATTAGCTTGTTACTTATATCTGTTTCATCCCACTCTAAGGCATCTTCACTCATTCCATTCAGGTCCATCAAGCCGGGATCGATCACATTCAAAGTCTCCTGTGTAAAAGGGAGGGGAAGAAGAGAGGGAAAGAGAGAGAGAATTAGAGAACTTAAGTGGGGGAATTTCTATCTGTTATAAATGTCTTGGAAGTCAGAAACTGGAACTGAAACACAGTCTGGGAGATAGCAGCAGCAGTGGCTCTGTTCCTCCTTGAAACAATATCCAAACACCGTAGGGACAGCTTTTCTATCAACAACTGTCACTGAGGCATTAACATACATTCAAATGTAAGATCAGTATACTGCTATCGCATTATCATTTATGGGGTTAGCCATTTCCTGTCGATTGTAATACATTTGAAATCTTAGTTTGGGTTGATTATTGCAGCTTGAATATGATATGTGTCACACAGGCTCGTGTTTCAAAAGCGTGGTTCCCATCTGATGCCACTATTTTGGGAGTTTCTGCAGGTCTTTGTGGATAATATTTAACTGGAAGAAATATGTCACTTGAAGTGGGTCCTTGGGAGGATCTTGTCCCTGCACCTTTCTCTGCTACTGCTTCACAGTGGAGCAAACAATGATCCTATACCACATGCCTAAGGACATGATGGAGACAAGTGACCATGAATGGGATCCTCAGAAACCATGCACCAAAAGAAATCTCCCTTTCTCAAAATTATTTAAGTATTTTAGTAGTGATATTTGAAAGTAGCTAAAGCAGCTAGAAATTGTCTGCTACAAAGACACCCAGCCTACAATCTACAACCCCAGAGAAGCTAGAACCCTCTTCTAGAAACAGATGGAAGCAGATGAATAAATTCACAACTAACCGTTGAACCAAGCTCCTGGAGTACAATCAAAGTGAGGGAGGAGCGATAATATGAACAAAGGAATCAAGACCATGACGGGGAAACCCACAGAATCAGCGGACCTGAGCTAGTGAGAGATCACTGACTCAGGTCTGACAAACGGGGAACCTGCATAAGACCGGACTAGACTCCCATAATATAGGTGACAATGGTGCGGCTAGGACAACATTTGAGGCCACTAACAGTGTGTCCAAGATCTAACACTAATGCACAAACTGACTTAGTGGAGCCCATTCTATATGGAGAGACACCTTGCTCAGCGTAGACACAGGGGGGTTGAGGGGGTGGGGAGGTGCTTTGGTCCTGCCTCAAGGAGATGATGGGACAGACTTAGTAGACTTCCTAGGGGAGACCTTACCCTCTCTGAGGAGCAGATGGGAGGTGGGGCGGGGGAGGGGGAGGGGGGAACAGGAGGAGAAGAGGGAGGGAGAACAGGGACTGGAATTTTAAAAGTAAATTAATTAAAAAAAAAGAAGTAGGCTGAATAAGCCAGTAAGCAAGACTGCTGCATGACCTTGGCCTCAACTCCTGCCTTGAGTTCCTATATCAGCTTCCCTCAATGATAAACTGTAATTGGGACATGCAACCCAAATAAACCTTTTTTTTCCGCCCCACCCCCCCAAACCAAATGTCTGCTACATGAAGGTTAAAGAGAAGAGCCCATATATTTCCTTAGGGAACATTTACGCTTATACTCACTTACTTCCCGGGCTTGTAGTAATACTGTCTGAAGCTATGCATCATAACCTTCTTGCCTCAATTTCTGGGTTCTCCGCTTTAAGTCCCATTTACCTGGGAACGTAGAGCAGAGTATACACCTTCCCTTTCTTTCTTTTCTGGTCTCTGCCATAAGAACTCCTCTCAGCCTCCTGTTAGACCCAAGATGAGCAACACCCACATCTTCCTGAGGTTTCCTTAGACATTGTGTCCTGGGTCCCTTTCTTACTCGTTCTTCCTTTGTGAGAGAGATTTCACTTTGTCTTTTGTTAACCATCACTATTGGTCCCACCTACACTTCTCACACGTAACATCTCCCAGTGCCACATGAAAACTATCTAAACACTTTCCAGACCCCCAGGGATACCATAGCCCAGATGCCCTTATGCTGCTCTCTGCCTGCCTTCATGAGAACTCAGAATTCTCTTGGATGATTTACCATTATTTACATAAAACTTACTGCGCCTTAGGGTGTAGCAGTGGAATGGGCTCTTTCAGCACACTCACTTGTCTTGTTATCCAGTTATCTGGTAACACTATGGAGGCAAGCTGGGTGACGGAAGCACTGTGGGCCCTGACAACTTCCGCTTCCATAAAAAAAGAGAGCATCCTCAGTTCCGACTGTGCATGCTGAGGAGACAGGTGACTGGATACGACTCGAGAGACAGCAGACCAGTTGATGGCCTCACTCTTCTCGCCAGCTTCAACCCCTTGTACAAGTTAGTTAGACTTCCTGAACATCAATATCGTCATGTATGAAACAGATACAGCTCCATGCATCTTTCAGAATCATTCATCGGCTGAAACGTGAAGTAATTATATGTTCCCAGGGAAGCAGTCAATATTTGGTGTCTAACTCTTACCATGTGTAGAATTGCTCATAAGCTCCTTGCCTCAGTCTTGGCTATCTCCTTCTCACTGTTCCTTCCAATTTTCTCTCAAAAACAATTCATGATCTGATAGGGAAGGAGGGGACAGCTGCTTTAACAAGCCAGGGTTTTCTCATTGCAAGTCCGACTGTCTCAACTGTCTGACTGAGAAACGGACCATGGTGCTTTTATTCCTCGATGGTGGGAAGAAAACCTCACCTGGAGCATACTCAAGCATATTCTGAAAGCCTCAGTCCTTCCTGAAACTAACGGATGAAAGACGCCACACAAACACAGTGAGTTTTGTAAACCAGCCATTAGCGTTTTGTTATACTGGATATGGAAGAGATTCTCTGTATAACTCGATTTAGTTTAAAGTAGTCCAGCTACAAGATAAACATTAATTAGAAGATATTTAAATCTTTTCTAAAAGAGATCTTTCCTGCTGCCGATGTTCTCGCAGCTAATCTAGTACAAGGTCAGTTATCACAGCCGCTTAGATACCCATTCACTGTGATGAATTTCTATTACAATTTCTGTTTATTCTTTGCTTGCTGATAAAGGAAAGGACTAACGACCAGTCTGCATAGCTAGTGAATGTTAAACTCTTCAGCGGTAGGAGCGATCAATCAGTCTACTCAAATAGTATATTAATTTCAAACACTATCTTACCCGACACAGTACTGACAGTGCTGATAAATAATTAAAGTAGGCTTTCAGAGGAGCTCTTTGTTACTCTGTTCAACTCTTACATGTGACAGCGGAGGCTTTTCCTACAGGGTCTCAAACCTAGGGACTCAACTGGAGATGCAAGCATTGTGCCATCTTGTGCCAGGAGCTGAAGCTGAGTGATGCTTGCAGCTCAGCCTGTCTGGGGACACAGTTATGGGCAGATACCGCTTTATGGCTTTACAGACTCACGGCTGTGAAAGGACAGAACTCCACAGTACCTGGAGGAGAGGATCAAAAGCCAATGAGATAAAACATTTCCATGGGAAAGGATTAAATTTGGTCTATGATTTTTGCATTAGCTCTTGTCCTTTAAAACTTCCTAAAGTGTCTATGTGATACTTCCAGGGAAGAGCCAACTGGATCTGCTTGGAAATCACTCACTTTTTAACTAAACATCTTCCATCTGAAAGAAGCCTTCAATCAGCCTCACCCATTTCCTTTGAAGCTAACCTTGACAGCTACTTTTACTTCTTCCCTTTCCACTCTGTCCTTAATTCTTCTGTAAGTTTGAGATCTCCTCCCTCTTGCGCAGCATTTCATACTCTAAAGAAATGGTTTACCTTCATGGCTATGATATTACCTGCTAAACCCTTTCCATAGACTACAGGACCCACGCATCTCACAATCATTGTAACACTCCTCACTCCCTAGGCTTTGGTTCTATGAATATCCATTAGAATGTTCTGAAGGCAAAAAAAAAGACATACTGAAGATGACAAAGACTCCCCTCTCAGTATATGGCTTCCCTGGTCCTTTTCTTTCCCTCTCTAGACAAGCCCCCTGCTAGGCTAAAACCCTGAAAACTGAGCTTTGATGAGCTAAGGCCTACATCTTCCTCATGGCCAACTTTGCATAAGCCAGTGTCTTTTCCAGAAACTCTGGACTCTATATCACCCTTCATGAGGAGTGCAGCCTGGAACTCAATTCCAGCAACACCTTCCAGTTTTATCTTAAATTCTGTAGTGTCTTTAAATAAAAATCTTCATTTCTTTGGGTTTTAGCCTAAACCATAAAATATACCCCACAGGGCAAGAAGAAAGTGAAAATATCCAAGAGGAAGTATTTCACAACTAATGTTGTCTTTTGCGCAACTGCTGGGGGCTGGGGAAGCAAGGCATACACATGGACACAACTCATCTTCTCGGTGACAGTTCAACATAGTCAATAATTCTCAAGCTAATTATATATTTGACTTTTTTATTATTGCAATTTGTAAAGAAATTGCTCAGCACTTAAAAAGAGATGCCCATATTCCCATACTCAATAAACTGGGAAGTCCGAATAGATCCCACCCAAAATCTAAGCGCTTTTGAATAGAGCCAATGGATGGTGAATAGTAAATGAGGGACCAATGGAAAGCATGCCACTGTGGGAATAACAGATACACATTAATTCAGGTAGGGCTCTTTCATTCACAAGCTTCTTCTGTTAGGTTTTAGGGAGGAGGAACCAGAGAGGTGAGGTACTAAGGAGAATTGCCCTCCAGGCAAGAGACTTAGCAGAATCAGCAGCAACACAGGTGCTTTCTTTTAGGTTCATCAAGGGAAGGGGAGGGCTTGCATAGGTGAGAAAGCAGGCTGCCTTAATCCATGATTTAAGTTCGTTACTCTTCCTCTACACGGTTAAGTTGGTCCCAGTTAAGGTGTGACCCACACTACCTGGAAGAAGTAGAGGAACAAGGCATTCTGGAGGACTTACGCTGTGTGGCAGGAAGCACACTTTCTTTGGGCAGAGAAGAGGACTAGGTTAGCATTTAACAGTGAGACATAACAGCAAAGGCTGCCTGCAATCCTTGAATGCAGGGAAACAGCTTTGTATGTTCTTGCCATGTTTGTATGTTCTTGACAGGCCTCCATGTTTAGGGCCT